GCGGGGTGCGCCCGAGAGTGTGTGTCTGTGAGTGTGCGAGCGCGCGCGAACGCGGGAGGGGGGGAGTCGAGGAAAGCGGGAACACATTATGCAAATGTTGGAGGAATTTCTCAAAAAGCGATTTAGCAAAGACACAGGCGAATCAAGAGGAGGCGAGGCCGGTATTGTCCGTCTGAATAGGCGCTGATAGCGCCGATGCGCCGGGGCTTGTGCGGGCGCAGCGCTGAGAATCCCGACGCGGGGCCGGTCCCGGGCTCGCAGAGGGACTGGAGGGTGCTTTTTCCTCCTCTTGGAGGCCTCTGTTTTCTCTTTTTGGTCCGGTTTTACACACACACACCCTCCCCGATCTCGCTCCCTTTGGCTCCGGGCTTCCCTCAGACTGGTCCTCCAAAGGCGCCTGAATCCGTGTCACTACCGCCACTTCAATTTCGCGGCACGAGTCGGGCGGGCGGCCCGACGCTCCCGGCGCTCCGGGTTTTATTTTTCTCAACCACCACCACCGCCACTACCACCACCCCCATCTCCTTTTTATTTTCTTTCTTTCTCTCCTTACTCCTTTTTGCATTTTGTGCCGAGAGGAGGAGAAGGAAGCGAGGAAGGGGGGTGGGTGGAGAGAGAAAAAATTCGATTTTTAATTACTACCATTAAAAAATCAAATTTGCAATTCTTTGGGCGGCCTGATGGATCTCACTGATTGACAGTTGGAATTGACACTCTGGCTACCTCTTATCTTGGGCATTCACGACAATTTCTAATTGCAGGTAGTTTGTGTGTGTGCGCGTGTTTTTTTTCCCCCCTCAGAGGCTTGGATTGCAAGGGAACTAAGCGATTACTTCAAGAGCCATGGGTTAAGTGCAGGGAGAGGGGGAGAGAGAGGGAAAAAATCCAATCCAAATTCAAATTGCTTCATTAGAGAGACACCGCTTTTGTGGGGAAGGGCTTTAAATGCCCACTACAAAGTTAGGACTCATTGTTCGGCGCCGGTTTATATAACAGGCGCGGGGAGGCGCTGGGCTCAGGCTGCACGGAGCGAGTTCTGCAGCCGCCGCCGCCTGCATTCCCCACCCCACCTCCCCCAGGTGATGGCCCAGCCAGGGTCCGGCTGCAAAGCGACCACCCGCTGTCTTGAAGGGACCGCGCCGCCCGCCATGGTGAGTCCGTTCGGCTCTGCCTTCGGCCCTTGGTCCCCCAACTGCCCAGCTCTGGGCATCTGGCTGGGTTTTCTGGCCGCGAACCGCTTGCCGGTGCGCTGGGGGACACAGTATGGGCGCCGCTTCTCTCTGAGCCTCGATTTTCCGGCCAGAAATGCGGTCTTTGATCGCTCCCTGCACTCCGGACGCGCGTGTTAGGAGTTGGGGCCGTCCCTTTCTCTCCAATAGGCCCTTTCATTCCTGTCCTCCAGCCTACGGCGTGACATCCCAGGCAGATTTCGTTGTCAGTTGGTGCGCACGGGAGCTAGACTCGTCTGGAGGCAGGGGCAGCTGTGGGCCCTGGCTCAGTGCTCTGCTGTCTCTCTTCCCCGCTGCAGGCGCAGTCGGACGCCGAGGCCCTGGCAGGCGCTCTGGACAAGGACGAGGGCCGGGCCTCTCCATGTACGCCTAGCACACCATCTGTGTGCTCACCGCCCTCTGCTGCCTCCTCCGTGCCGTCTGCCGGCAAGAACATCTGCTCCAGTTGCGGCCTCGAGATCCTGGACCGGTATCTGCTCAAGGTGAGTCAGGGTAGGTGATGGCAGGTTCTGTTGAAGCCCAGGGGACCTTAGCGAAGCAAGTCCGGTGACAGATTCACGTAATTCCAAACGTTGGCTTAGGCTTCGTGGCTTTGGACAAGCCTTAGGGTCTCTCAGCGCCCAGGGTTCTGCCTGAAAAAAATGGGAAGTGTACATATCCACTTCCTGAACCTCAGTATTACAGGAGGAAAATAAGGGAGTCACATGCACCTTCTGAGCTTCAGCGTTTCAATCTGCAAATGAAGCTGGGGAGGCAGGGGCCGGGTGTCCACGAGGCCGGCACTAAGCCGACCCCCCATCTCCGCCCCCTCCCCAGGTCAACAACCTCATCTGGCACGTGCGATGCCTCGAGTGCTCCGTGTGTCGCACGTCGCTGAGGCAGCAGAACAGCTGCTACATCAAGAACAAGGAAATCTTCTGCAAGATGGACTATTTCAGGTAGGCTGTGGCCGCCAGGCCCCGGCGCACACCCAGGCCACTTTTGCTGCTTCTGGTCTCAGAGTCCGGAGCCCTGGCGTCAAGAGTGCACTCCTGGCGCGCAGTACCAGCGGTACTCAGCGTCCCGAGCCCAAAGTTCCAGGCTGCACTGCTCTGCAATCTGCCTCTGGCTCCCCGCGGCCCGCTGGGTTTTGGTCGTGTCTGTGGCTCCGTCTCGGGTCTTGCCTGAGTCTCAGGCTCCAGTTCTGACTTTGCTCCTCGGTGGCATTCTGACCTTCAGGACTCTGGGCGGGCCTGCCCGGATTCCAGGCATCATCTGGAAGCATCTCCAGTGCGCTCCGGCTGTGGCTGCAACCCTACTAGGTCTGCAGTCGCGTTCTTGGAAGGGGTCCTAAGCTGAACCCGGACTCTCCTAGGTCAGGCTCTAACCCGGGCTCTGCTCTGGGTTCAGATGTGCTCCGGCCCCCAACCCCCCCACCCCCAGCAGCTAGCATCCGTCTCAGATCCTAGCCCATGTCCAAGCGCTCATCCTAATCCCCAGTCTTGGTCTTCGACTTCGCCTCAGTTCGTGCCTTGGTTGCTGGAGTATCGCATTTTGAGTCTGGGGTGTTGCCCGATCCCAGGTGCCTGTTCAGTCCCAGCTCCGTCTTCGTTTCTGGTCCCAGCGTCATCCTTTTCCTGGGTCTAGCCTCTGGCTTTGGTCCGCGAAAGCGGAGAATCCTGCCTCAGCCCTGAGCGTCGAGTCGGCTACACTCTTCCCGCCGCACCGCCGCGCGTCCTGGCAGCTCGCGGTCGCTGAGCAGTAGCATTCTCCTGCCGCGCGCGCGCGCGCGCGCGCGCCTCTATAAATGCAGCCCTGTCCTGACCCCGTCATGGGGTCGAGGTCACCGCTATCCTGGTGGGAAGCATGAACCAGACCTGACCAGGTGGCCAGGCAGAGGAGTCCTAGAAGAATGGTGTAGAACTGGTTCCTGGGAGGGACGCCTGTTCCCGAATGCTTTCTCAGGAAGTGGAGAAAGCTGCTCTCCTATAATCCACCCTTCCAACCCACATACATCCTTTTCTCCCCCGCCTCCAGAGAAATCAAGGCTTCAGTCTTCCTGGGACGACCCCAGCCCCAAATGGAGCCTCTGAGTGTCAGGGAATGGGGTGGACCACAGGGCTGCCCCCACTTGCTCCCTGCCCTTTGGCACTGAAACGCCAGGGACCTTCAGAGAGACCTTGAGCTTAGGGGTCTGTTGGAAGCATTTCGAGCTGGGGTTCTCTGAGGAAACCGGAAGAAGCGTGGTTAAAGAGGCAGACTCTTCCTTTATGTGAGGAGAATGAGGGCCCGCAGCTGGGGTGGGGGTGGGGGTGCTCGACCAGGTGGCCTAGGAATCCTGGTGCAAAGAGTATGTGTGTCTATATTGTCTGGAATCCACGAAGTAGTGCTGGGGAGTGTCCCGAGTAGGGTCAGGTGTTCTTGGCTAGCATGTGGGATTTTATAGACAAACATTTGTCTTGTAGTTCATGTGTGAGTGTAGACAGTGTGGGTCTATATGTGAATGTTGAGGCTTGGTGAGTGTGTATACGTGTGTGTGTGCCTGCATGTGTAAGGTGGTCAGAACAGGGTCATATCTGAATGAGGATCTGGAGGTAGGAAGGTGATTTGGGATGAGAGGATTCTGAAATCCAGTCACTCTGCACTCCCACCATCTCCTCTGAGGGAGCTTCCTGCTCAGACCCTCCACCCAGCCCTGAGGGATGAAGGGTGAGCCACGGCGTGCTGTGGAGGTGTCGCTGTGATCTGCTTTGTGTGTTTGTGTGTGTGTGTGTGTGTGTGTGTGTGTGTGTGTGGACAGAAGGGAATTATTACTGTGTGGTGTGTGACCAGAGTGTGGTGTCTCCTCCCACTGTCGCATCTGACTATTGATTTGGCCTAGGCAGGAAATGGAGGTTAGAGTCGCTGTCTAGCACCTCCCTACTCTGAGCCTGGTTTCAGTTGGGGAAAAAAACAGCCAGTTGCTGTTTTGGGGGTCCCCTGGATTCATCAGCTGCCTGGGAGCTTAGGAACACAATTGGAAGATGTCTAGGCTCTCCCTGTGGCAACAGACCTGGCAGCTTTACTGGTTCTTGCCTGAGTTTCTTCCCTGCTTCTCCAGCCCCACTTCATGCCTGTGCCAGCCTGAGCCTCCTTGGTGCCATTTTGTACCAGATCTTGAAGGACTAGTCAAAACTAGGGCCTTGATTTCATCATTCAGAGCTTGCACTAAGGCTGTGCCCCACTGCAGCCCTTGTGGGGAGAAGCAGGAGACTGATCTCTGCTAGGCCACTTGTGACCTTGGATGTGTTGCTGAGTTGCTCTTCTCTAAATCTTCCTTTGAACACTCCAGCTGTCAAAGAGACACTGAGGTATGTCTCCATAACAGCATCCTAAGTGACAATGGCTACCAGTGCCTCAGTTACCAACATTGCCATCATTGGCATTGAGTCCAGGCCCATGATGAACACTGATCCTTTTCCAGTGACAAGAGCCCCTAAAGCAAAACTAAGCCAGATTTTTGGATAAGAAAATGGAGGGAATAGAAGCTCACAGTCTCTGGGAGGTGTGTAGAATTGTTGCTCTTCTAAACATTTCTCTTCCTGTCAGGTCTCTTCTTGCGGGCATAATCCATCTCTGGCAGCCCCACCCTGTGCAAAAAAATAATAAAAAACCCCAAAGGCAAAGAAAAATCCAACAAAAAGCCAGGCAAGAACTATTGTCTGCACTGAGCAGCAGCCACCTTCCTAGAGAAGGTGGACAGTGTTGTGTGGGAGATGGATCTCCTAAGAGTTGGCACTTGGGGAGGGATCAGGTGCTGAAATTCTGGAGGCCTCTTTCCTGGGGTCAAAGGTCTGGTGGAGTATGGACTGGTGCACTGTCTGGAGAGAGAAAGACCAAGATCTTCCCAGGGTGGGTGGGGGAGAGTGGGGAGAAAGAGTGGTCAAGGCCCCATGGAGAGGCCACTTGGACATGCCATGGTCCTCTAACCTCTGACCTTGTTCCACAGGGAAAGGGTTCTCCAAGATTCTATCCCCTCTCTTGGCCCTCCTAGACACTGTCTGATGGATCTTCCTTCAGTCTCTATTGGCAGAGCCAACATTACTGACCCAGAAATTAGGGATTAGGAAGGAACTCCAAGTGCACCAGGGAGGGAGGCTGCAGAACATTGGCAGATTCAAGGTCCAGGGCTCTGCTCCTGGCTCATTTGTGGGTGTGTGGGTGTGTGGGGGGGTGATTTTTCACTGGCTCTGTGACCTTGGTCAAGTCTCTGGACCTCTCTCAGTTTCTCCAATTCACAGTCCAAACAGGACCTTACAAGCCTGGTGGGCTCAACCTGATTCCTGCCTACCTCCTCCCTTTACTCTCTGAGAATCCTTGTGGGAAAAAAAATTACCAACAGGGAAATATAACAGCGTTTTTAATTTCTTCACTTTTCTGTCGAGAACCCCCACACACACAAAGTGAAGAAAACTCTGGGAGAGAATAGTGTTCCTTTTGGGGCCATTCATATTTTCACTGCTAATAGCAGCCACAATCTGGAACATCTTTCCCTAGCCCCCTCCTACTTGCAGCTACTGCTGCACACATAGGGCAAGGCCAGTTCAGCCTCCTGAGGCATTGTGCCTGTTGTATAGTTGGGGAGACCTCAGTACTGGGAAAGTGGAAAGTAACATGATCAGTGTCACACAGTCAGTGAGAGAATGGAAGAGGGGCAGAGCAAGAGTGAGACCACCTATCACCAGAATATATGGAGTCCTCTATGCCAGGAACCTTGCTAATTCTTTACTGCTTTGTCTCATTTAATCCTCATGTTCACCTTGTGACTATGATATCTCATAATCAGAGGGGAAACTGAGGCCTATGGGGTGAGGTCATACAGCTAATTAGTGGTAGGGCCCTGGATAAACTCTGTGGACACCTAACATCGTTGCACCAAGACATTCCCAATCTCTTCTTCTACAGGGAAGATACGCCAGCCACCTCTTTGTGCATTGTGGGGCCTGTGGAATGGCAAAGGTCCCTCTCTGGGGGTCCCAAGAGTCCCAGCCCTGTTCACATGCCTTCACATAGAGAGCTCAGGTGTGACTCCCCTGGGTGGCTCTGGCAGTCCTGGAGGAACCACTTTGCCGAGGTCAGATGGCCTGAGTTCCTCTTCCCTTCTGACAATGGCACTGGGGAATAAAGGGTTAACTGTCCCCCTCCTTGTGTCCTTAGGGGTTAGGGTGACTAGAGTCCTAAGGTGGTCCCCAGCCTTCTCTAGCCTTGCACCTTGAGCCCAAGAGCTATTCTTGAACTCCAGAGGGAGCACCCCACCCCTTCCCTTAAAGCAGGGACCCAGGGGGAGGTCGAGAGCTGATGGGGGGCACTGCGGTGGAGAGCGGGTCCAGCAGCCTCCAGCTGTTGGGGGACAGAAGTTAGGGGAAAGGAGAGGGGAGCTGAAGGGGAGGGGCCTAGGCCGAGACCTCCGGGGCGCTGGCCGCTTTAACCTCTTAATTGCTGGTTCTGGCATTTCTGGCTTCTTCCCCTAAGGGTTTGCTTAGTGGAGAAGAAACAGGGAATAGGAAAAGCTCCACCTCCAACCCTCCTTGTTCGCTTCACAGAATTTCTCCAAGGCCATCCATCCAATGAGCCTTTGGAGCCCGAGCAAACTCCAGTTTGAGTTTCAGCGCCTCGGCTCATCAGCTTCCTAACATTGGAGCTCCCATTCTGAGCTTCGGTTTCTTTCTTCATCCAGAAAAGGTGTAGGTTTTTTAACGAGGAAAGGAGGGTCGTAGTGAAACTCCGATGGGCTTGTTGATGCGACAAATAGTTACTGAGGCTTTGCTAGGTTTCCAAGGGAAGTAAACCCGGAAAGCAAGCCGACAGGGGCAAGGGCGCACAGATCCCACTGCACAGCCACGAGTGTCCAGATCGAGGAGAGACGGCTTGGCTGCGCTCGAGGTGCGCACTACTCCTTTCCCGATGACGAGGATGCGCCGCCGTGGTTGGACACCTCTCTATCTCCAAAGCACCCCAGTCCTTCTGGTCTTTACCTCCAGCACACCAGGACCCTGGGAACAGCGTTCGAGGTTCAGACCTCACAGAGAGCCTGGGCTGGCATAGGAGCGCCCCCTAATCCTTTTGGCGCTCCGTTCACAGCTCCTGAACACCCCTTTCTTGAAGTTTCGTTGTCTGCGCCGCCCAATTCGCTGCTTCCGGATTAGGGCGGCTGAAGTCTCCAAGCCCGCCTGGGAAGGAGTCTGTCGGTTTGTCAGAGCCTCAATCGTAAGCCTCCTCGTACCATTTGTTCGTGTCGCTGACCCCCGTCCTGGGTGGGGGACACACTGCAGGAGCGGCCCTAACTCCTCCATTCATACGTAATGACAGACCTATCTCCAGACCAAGGATCCAGTGCAAGGACGATTTTGTTGACTGGGCCCAGCCGAGTCACTGCAGACTCCGAGGTCCTGGGGCGGAGAAAGCTCCTGACCTCTGGGGTGAGGTGCGAAGGCGAGAAAGTTGCTGATAGGTCCCTTGGCGGTGTCCGTTTAGGAGCAAGAGGTTGGGGGCACTGCGGTTTACCTGTGTGGGCGCAGTGTGAACTCGGACGTCGGAGACTCGCAGGGAAGGAAGACCAGGGTTGCGCGGGGAAGACTCAGAGGCGGAGGACAAGAAACCCCACCCAGCCGCAGCGAGGATCGGACCCGAACTTTCTTGCGCAGGGCACAGAGGTTACAGGCGCGGGGGCGGGGGTGGGGGGCTTGCCTCAGCCGCTCTTACCCTCTGGGCTTCTGAAGGCTGGGACCTTCCCTGCTTAGGCTTTTCTGTCTTCCTGAGGATCCCTTCTTCTGGGGCCTGCGACCCTGTCCTGCGCGCGGGAGTTTTCAGAACCCACGAACAGCGAGTAGTACCCAGAGGCTAGACCAGGCCCCCTTGTTTTTTTCTCCTGGGGTCCCAGGTCGCCTCATACCCAGACTGGCTGCTTGGTAGGTTCCAGATCTGTGAGAGACTCAACCCTGGCCCCACAATGTGCGGTCTAGAGTTAAGTCACCCGCAGTATCTGAACCACCAAATCCACGTGTGAAAAACCGGTTTCAGAGTGGCAGCCTCACACAGGGTTTGCAAAGAAGGCATTGTGCCTAGGACCTCCTCACCACCACCGCAGTAAGGGTTCTGTACATGGATGGGCACTCTGTCCTCTCCAAGCACACATAGTGGAAAGCTAGCCTCCCCTTGGAGACCAGAAAGTCCTTCCCACCCGATACTACCAGTTGGGTGGCAGAACCAAGAGGTCAACCCCATGGCAGGGGAAGCTGGAGTTGGCAAAACAGTTTGACCCTTCACTGCTTTGCTGCAGAATTAGAAACAGAGCTCATAGGCTATGTGGAGCTGTCCCCAAGGAAGCAGTTTCGGAGGTCAGGTGCCGTCCATGCCTAGTGGTTTGAGCAGACCCACCGGGAGGACACTGGCTGGGGAGCAACCTTGCTTTCCTTGGGTGCTTGCTGGAGTGGGCACCCGTGGCCCCTGTGGTACATCATAACATTTTTATCAACTGTCAATTGCTTGAATTTACCAAGGAAGGCAGGCTGTAACCACAGCGGTTTTGCTGGGCTGTTACCTCTATCCACTCACAGACTTTGCCTAATGCTCCTCTGAGTGGAAGGGTGTTATTCCCAGAGACAGAGAGGTAGATCTTGGTCGGCTCTCTCCCCCCAGGAATGCTTGGGATGAACCACGGAGAGCCAAGGACCCAGACATTGACAAACCAAAGTGATCAACGCTGAGGGTGGTGGGTCTCTGGCAGACGCGTCCTGGAAAGGACTAGTCTGACTAAAGGACTGGAAGTGGCGAAGTGCTTCAGAGCAGGCCGTACAGACCTGGGACTGACCTTCCATTGTGGCTGATGGGGTTCCTGCTTGGATATGGGGGTGGGAGAGATCTTGAAGAAAGTCAGGAAGGAGGTGGACCCAAAGAGGATGCAGTTGGCTGAGTTTTCTAATCCTTAAGTCACTCGGATGAGATCCTGAGGGGAGAGTGGAGCCACCAAAGAACTGTAGGTAAGGTGTACACAGGATTCCAACGTGCATGCTGGGAACTGCTGTGCCTGCAGTTTAGAGGATGAGTTGGCAGGGAGAGACTAGAAACTAGGGAGACTGGCAGAGAGGGCTGCCTGATAGAAGCGTGATCTAAGAGGGAGAGTGGCAGTGGAGATGGAGAGGAGGAGATTAATCTCAGAGATATTAGGAACCAGAACCCTCAGCCCCTGAGGGTTGGATGTGGAGCTTTGAAAAGGGAGGAGCATATGATTTAGTGTCAGTGATGGCATCTGTGCCTGATCTACAGGGCACAACAGAGGAAACCGAGGCTGAGAGGGGTTGGGCAGTCAACCACTTGAGCAAGCCTTCCCTGGTGCCAGGGCTTGACTTCAGCTTTCCTGAGGGGTGCTAACTAAACAGCCCACTACAGAGCAGAGAGGGAGGAGAAGGAGCAACAAGGAAGGAGTAAAGGGGCAAGGAAACATTTGATTTGGGCCTCTTATTTTTGACTTTTGTTTTTAACATTCAGTATTATGATGTCAAAGGCTCTAGAGTCTGGGACAAGATGGATTCTTAACAGACTGTAAAGCACTAAACAAATACTCAGAGCCATTGCTGTCAACTAGCTCGGCCTAGGGCAAGGAAAATAAGAACTAAGAGGAATCTAACAATTTTCCTAAGGTCACAGGGCCAGTAAATACATCTCTGTCTTTCTTCCAAGGAACTCTGAGCTTCGGTACAGCTGGGGCTATAGTTCATTCATCTCTGGAGTTAGCCTGGCTGGGGTTCCTACTCTTGTGAGCTGTGTGACTTAGGGTAACTTACTTTATATTCCTGACTCCTGTTTTCCTCATCTGTAAAATGAGGATTAATTGGGATAATCAATGTAAAATACAGAGAATCTTTTTGGACATGTGGTGCTCAAATATTTGCCTATTAATATCACTGTGTTTTGCTAACAGCAATGTTGTATTTTAATGAACGCATTCAATGTAAGTGCGATCATCCTAGAAAAGTTGGAAAAGTCATAAAAGCACCAAGGTGGGACTTGTCTGTACAAGGGTAGTGGAGCCAAGAAAAGGTTAATGAGGGAGCAAAAGCTCCGAGGTCAGAAACCTGGGTGTGGCGCGCCGCTGGGTGGGGTTGAGATGGCATGAGATGGGCTGGCCTGAGCTTTACCAACCTGGCCCTGCTCCCTTGTTCCGCAGTCGATTTGGGACCAAGTGCGCCCGGTGCGGCCGACAGATCTACGCCAGCGACTGGGTGCGGCGGGCACGCGGCAATGCCTATCACCTCGCCTGCTTTGCCTGCTTCTCATGCAAGCGCCAGCTGTCCACCGGTGAAGAGTTCGGCTTGGTGGAGGAGAAGGTGCTGTGCCGCATCCACTACGACACCATGATCGAGAACCTCAAGAGAGCCGCCGAGAACGGTACCCAACCAGCCCTGCTGGGCACCTCTGTCCGGAGCCCTTTCCCACCCAAACCCAGCACCCCAGACACAACCAATACAGCTTGGTGAACTGGGCGTTCCCTAGAGCACCTGGAGGCAATGCGAAGGTGGGGTGTGCAACGGAGCATGCGCTCTGGGTCCATCATTAGCATGAGAGCCGGAAATGCTGCCAGTCCGGGCAATTGTGTTAATTTATCTGTAAAATGGGGCTAGTGACAGGACATATTCTCAAAGACAGAGGAGCTGATGTGTTGTAAAGCCTGGAGGTACTCCATGATCCCTAGAGCTGGATGGTTCTCAGTGAGTCAGCTTTCTCCACCTTTGGAAAGCTCTCCTTGGCCTGGGCTCATCCCCTCGGGCTGCCTGGGCCAGGCCTGGAATTGATGTATCCTCTGTTCTCCCAGTTCCCATCCTGGCAACACTAAGCCAGAGGCTTGAGAGTGGGAGTTTCATCCCAGCCCAGTGCCACTGGCTATAAAGGCAAAAATCCCAGTCCCTAAGTCTAGAGACCCAGCTTCAGCATCCTGTGCTAATAACATATGAAGTTTCTCTTCCTCTCAGGGCCACTCTCAATCCCATCATTTGATCCCTAAATTTCCTCTGGCTCTAATAACTGTGAGGCCCAGAGACAGACTCCAGTTCTTCCGGGGATATGGAGGGCTGAGTCACAGGTGGAGTGAGGACTGGAGAAGGGAGCGAAGGTGGAGCTTTGGGCAGAGGCAAGGACCCTTTCCACAACTTCCCTGTTAGATTCTGTGGACACTGTTATTTCCTCTACACCATGGATTATTTTAGATAATCTTTACAATAGTCCTAGGAAACTGGTGCTGTATCCTCATTTTATAGGTAAGGAAAGAGACAGAGGTTATCTGCAGTATGTAGCTTGCCACATGTTATGTGCTAGTAGGTCTGGCTGACACCAAGGCCCAGGCTGTTTACTCCATAACATGGCACAGTATAGCATGCTCACCCTCAGGCTCTAGGAGCCTTTGATCAGACTTCAGAAAGCCAGAAAGGCGCTGAAATATGTCTGTCTCCAGGAATTTCATTTTCTCTCTAAAAAAACAAGCACAGGGCTGGGGCTTTAACCGCCTGCCTCACAAGTGCAAGATCCCAAGTTTGATCCCCACCACAAAAAACAAATAAACAAACAAGCCAAAAACAGGCACAGTAACCCTTGTCTCCTTTGCTATGGGTTATTACTATCACAAAATTTCTGCCTCACCCCCACCCAGTTCCTGTGGGGGAGGTTATGGACCACTTTGCCTCAATTTCTAGGCCCTGGCCCAAGGACCAATCAGGGACCAGCAGAGTGTTCCTGGCCATGGCTAAACCTAGACTGTTACCTTCTCCTGCCGGAATCAGGGCTAAGTGGAGAGCAAGTGAACTTGGGGTGCTAGGCAGTTATCTGTGGTACAGTGTGCAAGTCAGCACATGGAAACTGGGGAATCAGAGCTTCTTTAGCACCGTGATCTTGAATAATCTCACACCTTGATCGATGAGGACTACCTTGGCCTTGTCATGGCCTTGTCTATTATATTACATTCGGTTCTTGTGGTGCAGGGAGCGTGAGAGCCTGAAGACTTGGGGCCTCAGATCTCCCTCAGATCTCCACTGATCAACTCTCAGTGTGGGCTACTGTTTTGTTAAACATCATGCATGCTTGCACACACAATGCACACACTGCACATGTTCACAGAAAAATTAGAAAAGATGGTCAAGCAAAAAGAAAACAAAATCAAGATCATTCTAAATACTACCTTCTCTCATTTTAGTGTTTATCTTTCCAGATTTTTAAAACAAATCTATGTATGTTGGAGTGTTTATTCCTTCAACATAGTTTTACTCCTAATTAAAAAATTACAGTAAATTGTTAGCAGTGGTTCTCTCTAAGTGGTGGAATTACTGGTGATTTTCCACCTTTTTTGTGTTTATTGGAATTTTCTAGACTTTTAATAAGGACCATATATTAATTTTGTACGCGGAAAAAATGAAGTGTTAAAAATAAAATGGGTATTTAGTGGTTTACAATTATAATAGTAAAAGTAACATAATTGGAAAGGGAATATCTAAAATACCCATCACTTAAAATTAAACCTTAGACAAGTAAGGTGACATTTAATTATCCTGAAGACCTCTGTAGAGAACTATTGAAAGTAAAGCGTCTCTATGATTGCGCTCCTCAGAGATAAACCAGCGTTAACAGCTTGGTGTATACCCTTTCATTTTTCTTCCACTCGTTTTTATGAAATTGGAGTCATAGCTCTGTGGTCTGCTTTCTTCTTACCTCCACCAGCCTTCGAGAGGGAGCCCAGTCTGGAGCTTGAGGATCAGCCGGCTTTCAGATCCTAGCCTAGTTTCCAGGCAGGGATTTTCTTCTCTCTGAGCCTCAGCTTCCTTTCATGTAAAATGGGGATAATGGCACCTCTCCTAAGGGCTGTGACACATAAAGAACAGTGTCGAATGGACCCCCAGAAACACAAGCCCTTTCCCCAGAGACTGACCTCAGGGACTAGGACCCTGGGATCCCTTCTCCCAGCCAGCTCCGCTTCTGACCCTTCCAGGGACAAGCTCCCCCCACCCCCGTCCTTTCCAGGCTGCCACTAGAAGAGATGGGGACGCGTGGTCAGCTGCTTCTGTCGCCCCCAGGGAACGGCCTCACATTGGAGGGGGCAGTGCCCTCGGAACAGGACAGTCAGCCCAAGCCGGCCAAGCG